ACATATTGTTGAACACAGTAATGTCGAATTACAGTTTCCCAAGTCCGTACTTACAATTGAGCCGATTGACACAAAATAGTTATTCATTTCATTTACAATTTCCGTTAAATCGGTCTCAATAACACCATTAGTATCAAGGCCATTTCAATACTGTGAAGACGTTCTGTCGTTAGGAGCCTTTCACAAGCTTCCTTTGCCGAAGGTGGTGCCAGAGGCATTATGTTTTTAGGTTTCCCGTCCTCCGTACGTCCGTCCCGCTTTCTATATAATGCGATATCTTAAGAACCACTTGAGAATTGAGGCTCAAACTTAGCGATAATATGTATCACTATAGGAAGACGATATCAGTGGATTTTTAGTAACTAGGTCAGAGGTCAAAGGTCACAGAGGTCAACCTATGCAATTCCAGCTATCAGCCGTGTTATTGCAACATTTCTAGAACCACTAGAGATATTATAATAGGCTCAAACTTGGGGATAATATGTATTACCATAGGAAGACAATCTCATCAGATTTCGGGTAAAAAGGGTGAAAGGTCACAGAGGTCAATTTCTGAGATTACAGGTTTTTAGCCTTGCTATTGCGATATGTCAAGAACCACAAGAGATAGGCATTTGTTTACATTGTGATATGTCACAAATAGTTCAATCTATTTTGTATAGTGAATTTAGGGTGGAGGCATATTGGAGACGCAGTCGCATTTGTGTTGTTATTCTTATTATGGATTGCATGTTCTTATAAGTCACCAAAAACATATCCTTTCAGCCATATTTTTTGAAGAAAATTATATTTCAGTCAAGATGTATATATTAAACAAATTGAAGGAGTTGCATCACATCACATCAAATTTCTAACTATCTAGTAATTTGTAACTTCCTATAAAGACAGAATTGCACATAAAATTTTTCATTAAAATCGTATATTTTAAATTATTCTAAAGTTAATCAATCTAATATTACAATTTAATACATGATACAATAGTATAATATGATATATGATCATTTACTTTCACAGAGGATGAATACAAAAAATCCCTTGCGGATGACATAGCAAAGAGGCTGACCGTGAACCCACAACAGGTAATCATCTCCATTCAGGTATTTTTTTCTTCTGATTTGAGGTAAACCCGTAAGAGAGAATGAGGTGTCTATCGTACTTGTTAGTCCGAATAAGAATTCCTATACAAGTCAATGTAGTAGTGAGTTATGATTATGATGGAGAAGTGGATTCAGCCAGAATAAAAATATTATATTCATGATGGTCATCCGAAGAAATAAATGATGTCCAAAATTGTATTCAATGAATAAGAAATCAATATACCTTAGTATTATATAAAGAATGATAATTATATGGGCTGTCCGAATTTCATTCATGATGATATATTTTCATTATTTTGATTAGTGCATAGGAGTATTCACATACTCTAGCATATGTATTAGCTGTTTGATTGCATTTAGTCTGTCAAGTATTTAGTAAATCATGCAATTAAACAATAAATTGCTCTAGACCAGTCTATGATGACAATGTAAACCAATAAATAATGGGATTATCTCATTAATTACTTAAACAAATAAGTCCTAGTTGCTATTTGTAATGCAGCTAGTGCAAACTCCATGATTACAATCTTGACTGATTTATTTTGTGTAAAGGATCAAGGAAGTTTTGAACCACACAGCAGAGGTCTGAATCCTGAAGAATCAGGTTCGTGTATATGTTTTTGTATAACATTGATTGTGTTGTGTGTTTGTTTTCTTAACTCTAGATCAATCCTTATATCATCGTCCATAATATATAAACTATTAGTATGATAAAACAATTGATGACAAATAAGTATTTACTACTGTTAAAGTGTTATCATATAATATGTTTTCATAATTCAGTGCACAATTTAAACTGCTACCAATTCTGACCTAATAAATGACAGCTACATGATATCATATATAATATTATCATAACAATAATGATAATAATTATAATAGTCACATTTGTAGGCCTATAGATGATAGAACGGTAGTGCACAGGCTCCATTCCCAGGGGAGTATTCAGGCCAGGCGCCATTTCACAAATGAACACGTGCCAATCTAACCCCATTAAATTATCTGCAATACTAGTATATCTTTAATTCTGACATTTTGAATTTTTGCAACTGACAAATGAGGAAAGAAAAACACTTTATCTGAAAACTAAAAGCATACAAATTTTCGAGCACATAGTGCTTTATATGTCTATATTCTTACTGTTCTTCTTCTTCTTATTGTAATTATTATTGTTATCATCATCATTATTATTAGGTGGTCTGTCGTCTACGACAGATCACCTATTGTTTCGTCAGAATTTTCTTTCTTCTTTATTTATTTCTTTATTTTTATTTTTCCCCCTTTTTTGTGACCAGGATAACTCAAGATCAGTTCAGTCAAATTATTTCAATTTTGGCGCAGTCATTAGTCATTGTCATGAGACGTGACAGAAACATTTTAAAGGTCATCAAGTCTTCATGACGTCATCCAGGCGCCATTTTGTGAAATCACATTATCAATCATATCTTCATGACGCGTCATCAAAGGTCATTCATATTCATATCACATATACTTCAGGTTGAGGGTCAACAGGTCATGTAATCAAAAGTCACATAAAGGTCATGACGCGCGCGCGCGTAGCTGATAACAACAATGATAATAATAATAATAGTACTAACAACAATAATGTCATGTTAAAAACGCCCCATGGGCATATGAATAATAACCCTTTTATCAAATTCTGAATAGCGATGTTACCTTGTCATTTTGTAACCAACTGATTTGTTTCATTTAACTTTGCCCCCCCCCCCCTCCTCTGTATTGTACAACAGTTTTACTGCATAAACGTTTGCCCTGCTTACTCTCTTAATATATTTCCTCCTTCTTCCTCATTAAGAAAGATGATTAAATCTATCTCGCTGCTGCCAGATCTAAACAAATTACAAGGTCGGACACCAATTTCTCAATCATACATAAGACTGCACCAGCACTATCACACCTCAGTCATACATCATTATGATTACACAGTGCCATCATAATCACCACCGTCATCACATATCTGTCACAAAATAAGAAAATGAAAAGAAACGAATTAAGCAGCAGTACTAAATATTTATCAACATATTTTGTTATCATTATAATGATTTTTTTTAATGCAATATTATACAAATAATGATTGGTTATGAGTTCAATAGTGCGAATATTTTCATGAGTTTAAAGATTAACATTCTATTTAACGAGGCGTCAGCCGAGTTGAATAGAACTAACGTTAATCTGTCAACGAATGAAAATATTCGCACTATTGAACGAATGAAAAAGAATCGTTATTTGTTTTATACAACATCGAAGAAGATCTAATAGAACGTTAATCAACAAATTATGCTTTACTCCTTATATTAAAGATAAATTAAAGTTGGAGTCAAGCCTTCTCGATTACATTCAGATTGCCTTCGCGTCAGATGCACGCAGGGATACGCGCACGTCAGAGAGGTACGCAGTCTGCATATAACCAAAAATGCACGCCCGTGCAATAGAACATCTATTGAATATCATGTGACCAACAATCTTCCGATCAAATGACAAGGATCCACGTAGGTGTCGTATAAAACATTATATTCAATCGAGACAAGAAAAGTAACACATGAATGGGGGGTGGGGGTGGCTGCTTCTTTTTAATAAATTTAGAAATTTAAATATTTTAGAATTAAATCCATATGATTAATTCAATTATCAACATGCTTTTGAAAGCACAGGTATACTCATAGCCTGCCATTAGACTGCATGCACGCTGTTGTTAGAGTGCTTTGTATACGCGAGCACAGTTATTGTTCATGCCCATTGGACTGTGCCTAGTGTTTTGCACGCGCTATTGGTAGTACCATCGCGTTAATCCGATTATCTCGTTATAAATTTGGCACTGGGAGGATTTTTGGCTTGGCACAATGGGGATTAGCCCTGTGACAGGATAAGAGTTAACATGAAATTATTGTTGTTATTACTACTATTACTTTGTACCATTAGTATTGTTGTTCATCCGCTATTATCATTATAATTATCGTTATTAGTACTGTAAAACATTTTGTAGATGGCGAATCAACAAACAGTAGTTGGCGTCTTTTGTATGGCATTGCTCATGAATAAACATTGATCCTCAAAGATCGTTCAGATAATAATGCATCCCATGCAAACCTATAGAATGTCAAAGTTCACAAGATAGCTGACCCTCTAGTCCTCCTCCGGAGGACATACTATATGTATGATCGAATTTCTTCGAGTGCTAGTTGGAAAAGCGCCCACACCCGACGAAATACAAATAACTCTGCTTTTCGATAAACAGTGTTTATCGCTGCGCCGTTTGACCAATACTTCATATAAACAATGTGTATCGAGCAATAAACAGTGTTTATCACTCGATATACATGGTTTATCTCGATAAACATTGTGTATCGCTCGATAAACAGTGTTTTTCGGCCGGCGATAAACATTGTTTATCGTCGACAATTGGTCAAACTGCGCGCCATATAAGATGATGTCATAAAGTAAAAAGCTCGTTTTTAGGTCGACAACTTCCAAATTACAAAACTTTAAATATTGAGTTTTCAGAGAGCTGATACTCCTCTGACAGACACTTAAATGGCATATAATTGATATTATTGTAATATTTAGCTTATAGGCTTTCATTTGATGTATATTCATCCATTTAATTATTTTCTTTTGGATATGGTCTTTCATGATTATGATAAAAATAGTCACATTTGAACTTGTGTAGGCCATTTTAGGTGGTAGAATGATAGTAAATGCACATGCTCAATTTTGACCAGGCGCCATTTTACAAACGCACACATGCCAATCCAACAACTCTAACGTTCGCATCCTTCTTGGTACCCATTTACCACCTGGGTGGAGTGGCAGATGTAGATTAATTATGAATGTATATATCATACAAAAACATATATGTATTTCTTATTTCTTACAGACGAATCTGTCTTCGATAATATGGAGGCGCCCAAGGCTAAAGAGAAGGGTGAAAATATGCCGAATCACATAGCAAGTGTGGTAGAGAAAATGCTTAAGGAACAGGTTCACCTAAAGGTAGAATTCATGTTTTAACCTTGTATCTTTATGTGGTTTAGTCAGTTATGCAATAACACAATGAATTACTCAAGGCCAGTCCAGGATGACAGTGTAAATGCAAAAAAGGTTGAGTGTAACCGTCTCATCCACCACTTTGAAAAAAAAGAAGTTCTAATTGTTTATTGTGATGATGCCGTTAGTGCAAGCTGCTCGATGATAATCTTAATACTGGTTTATTTTGTGTACAGGATCAAGAAACTTTAGAACCACACAGAGGCCTGAATCCTTCAGAAGCAGGTTTGTGGTTTTGTTTGTCTTGTTTTTTGTTATTTGTTGTTGGTTTGTATTGTTCGTTTGATTTCTTACCAGTCGATCAATCTGTAATTCATCATCCATAAGATATACAGTATCAATAAAAGTTGATAACAAATAAGTATATAATCCCTTTAAAGTGTTATCACAAAACAATTGTTATAACCCAGTAATCAATTTAAACTGCAATCAATTTTGACTTGTTAAATGTCAGTTACATGAAATATTCTCACAATATTAATGTTATGTTAATATTACATATATGTATTTCTTCTTTATTACAGAAGAATTTGTCTTGGATAATGTGGAGGTGCCCAAGGCTAAAGAGGAGGGTGACAATATGCCAAATCAAATAGCAAGTCTGGTGGAGAAAATGCTTAAGGAACAGGTTTACCTAAAGGTAGAATTCATTTTTGAACCTTGTATCTTCATGTGGTATAATATGTACACAATTTTCTACAATGCCTTTGTGTTATCCTAGCATCTTCCACGTCTTTGTTATAAGTTGTGTGTTTATTATAAAGTTTTGGTTAGTATATTTTAGTCAGACAATGGTGCGCTTAGAGACACCCGTATTAAGCGTCTAATAAAAGTTGTGTATTATTATTATTATTATTATTATTATTATTATTACAGTTAATGGGATCATCGGAATATTTTTTATATTTTTTTAATTTTTTTTTCCATATTTTTCCCTCCACAGGGATTTTATTGATTTTCATTTCAAACAATTTAACAATTATATTCAAGGTAATTTACATTTATAACATAAATAAAATTGGCTTTTCAAGATACAAATATTGTTGAACTGTTGAGTTAACAGAAAACTAACAAATCAATAATTCATTTCTGACACTCATGGAAAGAAAAACAAATACAGAACAAATATCATTTTAAGTAAACAAATTCCTGAATTGAAACCTTTTCCTTTTGAATTTATCATTTCTACAATTCGAATTTGCAATCTACTTTTCGTGTTTGAAGTAATTTATAATCGAAACTCTAATATTATCAAAGTCGGGCAATTGTTTCTTTATTTTGCAAGTATACAGCATCTGTCGCACCACAATCAGTATACAATTCAATGCATAAGTATTTGAACCTTTTAAACCAAATAATTGATCTTGTAATGAAAATGTTAATTTATTTCCGGTTCCAGTATTAATTCAGTGCTTTAACCTACCCCAAATATTTTTAACATGCGTACAATCACATAGCGGATGTGTAACTGTTTCAATCTGTTCATTACAAAATGTACATTCTTTTCTTAGGACTAAATTCATTTAAAACAGTAGATCGTTCGTATGTAATATGCGTTGCAAAACTTTAAACTGAAACCATCGTAAGCCCACATCAATGGTACAATTAAATCCAATAGAACAATATATTTCCCAACTCTTATCATTCAGGTCGAAAATGCATTTCCATTTAAGAAAACTTTTACATAGTCCTTTTCTTCTCTTTAATAAAATTGCATAGATATGTGAACATCCTTTAATACGTTTCATAACAAATGCCATTGTATCTGGAAAAAGAGGTTGTGGCACCTTGTTAAAAATAGTACAATTGTTAAACCCTGGTCTAATTGCATCGCATAATCCACGATAAAAAAATTTATTTGAATATTATACTTTTCTTGGAAGTGTTCCAGAGAGAAAAAAAAATCACCATTTGTGTCTAATATATCATTGACAAAACGAACTCCCTTTTGACACAATTTGTTATTATATATTGAGCTATTGCCTATTTTAATGTAATCATTATTCCATAAGGGTTGGCAAGAAATGTTATCATAATGCATTGACAAGAGCGTACTATAAGCCATGAACATTTCTTTCCAAAAAAGGTTCTTTGTTTTACCTGCCAGTTCCAGAAAATAATGTTTACACATATAACATTTCAAATGTTGCAGTTCAGGCAAGAAAGATTGCAAAAGACAGAGGATATTGCTATTTATTGAGCCAATTACTAATCTCTTAATCCAGGAAATGTTTATTGATTGGCAATGTGTGTATACGTCTATCATTTTAACCCCTCCGTCTGAGTAACTTTGTTACATTTGATTTCTACTTATTTTATCAAGTTTCTCCCCCCATATAAATCTATATAAATGAGCATTTATATCTTTCAAAAGACATCGGATTATGGTGTGTTTCCACAGAAGTGTACAACGGCAGATACTCAATTAGACCCTGAAAATGGAGAGATGGAAAGTAACAGTATTTCAAAATCCAAGAAAACATACAGATTAGGATATCAGCTGATCTCAAACTTATTTGGTGTCTGGAGTGGGATGAAAAATCGTTGTTAGATCGTGAGGCACGTGAGAGTGAGAGAGGTCTATCACGGAAAGGAAGAAAAGTTGCCTTTATTGGAACAGGTTTCCGTGGAGAAAAAAACCTTGTGAACATATATATAGGATACACAATGGTCATTTGCTTACTGGATGGTTTGCTCATACTCGGTTAAAAATGATGCTACAGTATGTGATATAGCAGATATCTTCATGATACGCGTTTGGACAAAGTTGTTTTGTGATTGTCTTTAGGATTAGTACTGATGTTCCCATAATTTTTGTGTAAAATGTTGTTGTTACCAACTGTTCATATAGATGTGTATTCATTTTCCTCATTCCTTAGGAGATAGGAACAGACAGGACTCATAGCGGTAGAGGAGAAGGAGTCTCACTAAGTATATGGGACTTTGCTGGACACGACATATATTACTCAACCCATCAGGTACAATAATATTTTAAGAACATTAGTTTCCTTGTAAATTATACCGTGGTGCCATGAAAGCATAATTTTAAAGTATTGTTAGATTTTATAGAATAAATTGAATAAATTGTATTGACTACAGTCTCCCATACATCCATTATGGCTTTCTTATCCTAAATCTTTTATATTTCTCTTGTGATTTTGTTCTGATCAGTTTCAGTGTAGATATCTCATTCTCAAAGAAATTACTGTCTCAATATAATGCTTCAGTTCAGGGCACATGGATTCATGTACTTTTAATATGCACATCTGTTGGCCTACATGTAGGTTTTGCCATACGTTGTATACATGTGCATTAATGTGTGGTCCAGTCATAGATGCAAATTCATGCCCAGTGTCTAAATTATTGCTTCTTTTATTTATTTGATATTACACTGTAGGACAACAGACCTCACATTAGTAAGAGTTGCTGACTTCTTGTTATGTCTTAATTTTGTAATATTATTTATTTTTCAACAGAAGTTTATTTTTCCTCTGAGCTGTCATTGTCACAGAGTTATCTAAGAATTGATAATATGTATGCAATTGATAATGGCTATATATATGGAGCTAGAGGATCTACACCAGTTGGGTTTGAACAAAAGATATTGCAGTTTAGAGACCTCTTGCACTTAGTGATGAACTATAATCTCTATATTAATACATTTAACAACTAAATTATTCATGCCCTTATCAAGTTTTCTATTTGTTAAGTACGTAAAAAGTTGATTTGTCAAGATGTATGTTTCTTGAGAATGTGACATGTTGTAGCTTACATCTAAAAAGTATTTTATAACACAGGCCCTAATTCAACCAGTCTACCTTGCATTCATGAGTTACGAAAAACACACACACATATACACACACCAAAGGGTATGAACTATTTAGTTGTTATACGTATATAAACAGTGCCCGAGGTCCCTTATTATTATAGAAAATAATAGAGCATATATAAACAACATAGCATTGTAGTTATTAAATACAAAGGCATCACCTTTATTCTCTTCTCCTGTAGGTGTTTCTGACGTGGCGAGCTATTTATGTGATTGTTTTTGATCTCAGTAGAAGTTTGGATTCTGCCGTTCCCCCTGAATCCAGAGACAAGAATTATGAAATGGTATTTCTTTCTTTTATTTTATACTGCTTGGCAAACATAAATTATGCTTTACAGGGGATAGATAAATGTTAAATAGTGTTGGGCTTTCTTTGCCAAACATCAGTTATCTTCATAAAGTTATTATGTAAAGTTTTATATTTGTTTATCATTCTATACTCGTATAAAATGTGTTTTTAAAGTATAGATGTTATGAAAGCTCCTGTTCATTTTGACTATTTTTAAATGTAGTTTACGTCTGGATTAATACTTGTGTAAATTGTTGGTACGATTAAATCAGTGATATATACAACTTTGTTTTCCTTCACTTTTCGGAGCAGGGTGTGTGATAACATAGTTGAAATTTATATCTCTTTGAAAGTCCATCTCTGTTCGAAAATACACGTAGGCCTACAAGGTCATCCTGCTGATCATGTCCACACTTGGTCATGACATTAAAGTGATCAGCTTTTAAGAACAAAAATTAAAATGTAACAACTGTAATGTTTTACCAATTGAATATGAAGGATTACTGCTATTTCTCTTCATGATTAATTTACCATCTGCGCATGTCATCTTCTTCTCATACATATTATTACATCCCCATTCGTTAATGAATTCTATTTCTCTTACTATAGCATAAATTATGTTTCCTTAATATTCCTTTTGTAAATACAGTAATTATGGAGTAGTAAAAAGGATTGCAACGGTTCAAGCTTAGTTTCTTCATGATTATTTAATGGTAATATTACAATGTAAGCACATAATTATAAGAATGTATTAATTATATGATTTTAATATCATGCTGTAATCGGTTTTTTATTTTGGAAGGCACAGAAAATAAATAAACCAATAAATCATTTATCAACTACAAACAAGAATTAATGTTGGATGTGACGAGTGGGATATGTATGAGTTCCCCTGTTAGAGTTATTACAAAGTATGGTTTTTCTGTGTGATTTAATCGTTGGCCTTACCATACATATTTCTTTGCAATTAAAACGCAGGTTAAAGGAGGTGCCAAATCAGAACTGACATGTCTAGAGTTCATTAATTTCTGGTTGTATTCCATCTACGCCCATGCTGTGGCGCCGTCTTCAGTCATAAATAACAATACGTCTAAAACCGCCCAGAAATCTCCACCAATATTCATCGTTGGTACGCATCGAGATAGTGTGAAAGGAGATGCGCAAGAGAAAAGGGAAAAGGTAATGCTTTATGATATACACGTTTGTTTATAATAAAATAATAATTTTGTTTACCCCAGCTGTTCTTCCTGAAGGTCCAGCAATCCTTGATATCGGCAATACCCCCCAAATGCCGAGATGTGCGCCTTTTGGACTTAATTTAGACCCACTTCGGAGACTTACGTACTTCCGGTGACGATTCATGCATGCGACATGCGCGTTGTAAACATATTATGCAAGCGCAGTATACGTATGTGAAAGCTAATTTGATCGTGCAGTGATTTCAAACTTGTCTTGCCTTCGGAGCAACTTTGTCAAGGTCGTTTCGTTCTGTGTAGGATTTGTTGTAAATTTTACCGGCCAAGTCACATTTCTCATTCAGGGGTATCTCTGAATGTTTTTTCGTTTATTTTCGTGCGACCAGCATGCAGCAGATTCTCAGATAGGCCTACCCTAAATACTCGACTTACACCAACAAGACCGACACCAACACGACAAAGATCGTACAAAAAGTACCATACCCTGAGTTAGACTGAACGCTTTAGTCTCTGATATCGACGGTTGTTCCGCTGTGACTCCATGTGGCCAGACCGAGATGAATGAGATGCTACAATTTGTTCACTCTTTAAAGCCCCCATCACACCAAACTAGTTCTCACTACGTTCTGGAACCGTCCTAGAAAATCGTAGAACGGGTTGTGGTCGGGGCAGAATGTGTAACAAATGTTTATAATACGATCCTAGTTCGTTCGTAAACAGTCCTCAATACGTCCATCTCGTTTGTTCCCCGTCCACAGCCGGTTCATATTAAGTTCAGATCGGGTAGATTAGGCAGTCCAAGCCAGTCCGTAGTCAGTTTAAACCCGTTATTAAATAGTTTTACCTCGTTCCCAATACGTTCAAACCCATTCTAACTAGTTCGTCACTTGTTCTAACTAGTTTTTTTACCCGACCACTCCGTTCAGAGGCAGTTCAACTCTTTCTCATCGCGTTCTGATTGCGTTCGAACGCGCTCCTTGAGCGTGTGCAATCCCGTCCTGACTCGGGAGTTATAAAAATCCAGAGCGTTCTCGCCATTCCTCATTCCCGTTCAACTTCACGCTTTAGGCTTTGCAGATCAAGACGTTCAAGTCAAGCACATATCACACCAAACTAGTTCTCACTACGTTCTGGAAAAATGTTGCCAAACGGGCTCAAACTGTGTGTGAACGGAGTGAACGTATTAGCAACTATTTACGATCTTTTTAAGGACTTCATGGACGGGCTCGGACTGGCTTGGATGGAAAGGGTGGTCTAGAACTTTGAGCCTGTTCAAAATTATCCCCGTCCTGCAATTGGACGGAGTGACAACGTACTTAAAACGAGATGGACGTACTACGAACGAAATTGCCGTACTATGAACGGAAATTGCCGCACTTCGATCCTACTAGGAACGTGTTACCACGTGATGTGGTCGAGCATCAACGAGGAAGAACGCGCTGGGTTTGTATAGCCCTCGAACCAGGACGGGATTGTAAAGCACTATAGAAGCGCGTTCGAACGCACTAAGATCAATATGAGGACGAGTTGAACTGTCTCTGAACGGGGTGGTTGGGTTATAAACTAGTTAGAACACGTTCCGAACTAGTAAAAATGGTTTGGACTGCTTGGAAATATCAAATTTATCCGATCTGAACTTGATATGAACTGACTGTGGACGGGTACAGACGAGTTGGGCGTATTGTGTACTGTTAATGAACGAACTAGGATCGTATTATAGACATTAGTCCAGTCCGAGCCCGTCCATAAAGTCCTTAAACAGGTTGCAAGCAGTTGCTAATAGGTTCGCACACAGTTTGAGCCCGGGGTACAAACGAGATGGACGTATTGAGGTTCCAGAAATGGCTGCAAAATTACACTTTCTGTTATTGTAAAAAATAACAACAACTGAAAAACATACTTTGAATTACGATAGCTTGCTTATTTAAATAGCTCCTACATTTAACTTTTAATTTCGAGAAAGACTTTTTGTCAACAGGAGTCGTTAAAATGTCAGTGTTACTAAAGAATTCCCCATATCAGACGATTATTTCGGTCTAAACCTGAGCGGCCATTACATTGGTCATTTGGATTCAGATAGGAATCGGTTTAGCAGTGAGATTGTGCTATGGCATTAGAACAGCTTGACTATTTATAACTTTGCACAATTTGGATTTACACTTTCTTGTGAATGGACGTTTACAAAAAAATCACCCTGGTATTATTGTGGTTTTGATTTTACAAGAAAATTAGATAAATGGATCACTGCAAATTTGAGCAATATGTGATTAAAGGGTAATTAATTTAAACGAGCATTTATTTCATCTAAACAAACTATTTAGTCATACGTGCATGCTAGATGTAATCAAATATGTTTTTACACAGCCCCATTTCTTCATTATATAAACTTAAAAAAATCAAAATACATTTGCACTACAAAGCAAATGGGAGACGACCTCATTAGATAAGTCACAGATTTGCCAAATTGTGTTGCATTGATTATAACTTCAAAACGTAATTACTTTCTTATTTGTATACAGATTTTGTAAATTTCTTCACTGATCGGTTTCTCACATTTTTTCCCCTCGTATTACAATCAATGAAATATCATGGTGTACTTTAATTGCGTTACGATATTTCATATCGGCATTCTCTAATTGAGCATGGATGATCGTGTTCTCATTTAAAGTGAGGTATGCATGCATGTTAGACATTATGACTAAGATGTCATTTTCTGTTCATTTCACTTTTTTGGTCTTCTAGATTGGCTCTGCCTTTAAGAAGATCCGCGAATCTATCATGGATAAACCGTTTCAATGCCATGTGGTCCCCGAGTATTATGCCATTGAAAACAGCTTAGAGGACGAAGACGATATGGTACATCATAAATAATCATCAACTTTCATAATTTATGGTAACCTGTAACAAAAGAGTATTACTGATTATCTATCGAATCCAGTTACATCCAATCCAGAATATAAATTTAGTTATAAAGTGCTGCTCAATTGTTTCACATCTTTGGACCACTTCATCAACAATAATATATCACTTCAAAAAGCTAAGCTAATGCAGTCCATTGTTCTGTAACAAAATATAAAAAACACCTTGGAGCCATGGGGCGAAATGTGATGGATTTTAGACTCAGGGTTATTTTTGGTCTTAAATATTGTCCCAATTGTTTAACTATGGCATATATTAAGATGCTCTTTCATACACAAAGAACTGACATAACCATCTGTTAATATCTGACTTTTGAACCACAAATTTAAAAGCTGATAACTCTAAAACTAGGTGTGTATTCCTTTTGACATCTAATCTCAATATGACTCTCTGATAATTTCCAAAACTCTTTAATGCAAGTTCCCAAGAAGTAATTTAGATAAATAATATTTTCTAAAATTTAACTGCGCATAAATATTAAGGTAGTTCATATTTATATATAGTGAAATTGATTTCCATCCACTGTGCTCGACGAAAATCAATTATAGGCATTTACTATTAACCTAAAATCAAATGGCATTGGTTTAGATAGTAGTTAGCCTTTGTAGAAAACTTGACACGAGCTATCGGCTTCATGCTTTAATTGTCTGTGGTAATAATACAACTGTACAAATATGTTTGTTTATATACAATCAATGTGGAAGAGAAATATCACTTCTTTCATTACCCATTGGCAATTCTTTTCCACATTTATGCGCTACATCTGTGCAATTGTTCCCTCTGTTACTCTAGAGTGATATTTTTGTGCAATTAGCTTAATATTCCTGAACATGCTCAATTGAATTTATCATTGAATATGTAATGACACTGCCTTAACACATTGCTTACTGGAACCTGGTGGTCCATGTGTTAAGCCTATGGGGATTAGATAATTCAGTAGCCAACGTGTTAATTATTTATCCACATCTTCGTAACATTTTTTTCTGAATCTTTCCTAATATTACTGTGTGATGTAATCCCAATGTTATTTGGTTATATTGCTGTTGTATTTTGAAGTTTTTTATTATGATGTAAATATCATGTGCTGCATGTCACGTTAAAAAGAAAAAAACAATAATTACTTTCCTTTGTAGCTGGTTGCGTTGAGGAGACACATTGAGAGAGTAGCAATGACAGAGCCTTACATGGGAGAAGAGATTCCACTCAGATGGCTCTTATTTGAGGAAGCTCTAGCTGCACATGAAATAAATTACATGTCGTTAGATCAGGTAGGACTGCAACGTTAATTCTTGTCATTCTCGTGTAATATGCGTTCGGGTATTGTAGTGGTAGACAATTGGAGATCAATTGTTTATATGCAGTTCATATTTGAACTTTAAGTTTTAAAAGCCTAGTTTGGTTTTATTCCTTTTGTTTTTCTTTCAAATTTTCCATTTGTTGGTAATGAATTTTCTAACAAATGTATTTATGTATATATTTCATTTTCAAGGAAAATTAAGTTAAGTCCTTATTTCATTTATTCATAGCTACCTACAAGTCTCCTAGTATTGTTGGGAATATGTAATGCTACATTATTTAAATGCATCCATCAATGATACCCTTTCAATTTTGTAAATAGGCCACTTCATGCCTGTTTCAATAAATTGATGTAGTCCCTTTGAAAATCATGGCATAAGATTGAGGCTTCGTGTTGCATTCTGTAACAGATTTGCTTGATTAATATATTCACATTCTGTGTATGCCCTGTGTATTAAAATTGAATGTAGTGTTACTGTTACGATATTTATTCATTTGATAGCTACTCTTTGTGATGTTTGTCACCAATCATATGATGATTTTGAAGCCATTTGTTGCATTCTTCCAGACCAAGGAACTGACTCAGTCAGTCGGGATGGAATTGGAGCATGAACTTCTCACGATGCTGACCTTTTACCACGACCTTGGTAATGTAGTCTACTACGGAAGCATTGAAGACCAGACGTCTCTCCTACGAGACATGGTGATCCTGAATCCTCAGTGGCTAATTGATGTCTTCAAGCAGGTCATAACCATCCTTGATCCCGCAAAGAGGGTGAGAAACCTCTTCCTTTACAACCTCATTCACTCTTGCTGCAGTAAGCTGCAACATTTTTTTAATACAACGAAATGCATGGGAATTTGGCATTCAAAAGTAATCGCGTACCACAAAGGTCCTATGCAGTCTATCATACAAGACATCGTAGGAGAACATGTGGCTAATTGATGTATTCATACAGGTCATTATCATCTTGGATTCTGCAGAAAGGGTGAGCAGTCTTCCCCTCCGCTTATAATAATATTGTGGGTTTATATGGAGCTCAATACATCAACAATGTCCGTATTATCTATGTGTTAAAAAATCGAGAATTGGAAGTGTAGTATAATTAAAAACATATTGGGAAAACTGCGACACTATGACCTATGTGAAGATGCCTGTAAAGAAGTCTTCTTAGAGACAGAGTTTTATAGTATTAATAAGAATCATAGGGCATATTATTTATAATATTGATGTAACAAAGCTCTCTGTTTACCACGTAGTAATGGTTTACAATATATACTCCTATTTCCAGTTTATATTCTAACTGCCATTAAGTTGACATTGTGTTTTAATTCTAGGATGGAATCGTGAGTGATGCTTTGGCCACTCTTGAGAAGGATGGTATCTTAGAGGATAGGTTGATTCAGCATATGTGGCAAGGATTTCTGGAGCAGAAGGAGGCCTTAGTCAAGCTCATGACCAAGTTTGATCTCATCTGTGAGGCTCCTGTGGAACGCCTCCAGCAGGATGGAGTAGACACTGAGGTAAAATCTCCAGCTAAATAGTGTCCCGATCCGTGTTCCCCCGGCAATGCCCGAAATTTATTTTAACATTAATATAGGATTAGGTTTATGGTTGCAATTTGTTTTTTCGGTCTAGGGTTAAGATTAGGATATATTTGTGGGTTCATTGCCGAAGTTAAACATTTAGTTAGGATAGGACATTAAAAAAAGCAATTATTGCAGGGTCTTGCTTCACTCTAACCTCTGAATATTGCGACTAGAAATATTCAGACAATATAGAAGCAAACAAGGGACATGTACCGGCTTTTGTAAATATAAATATTTATATATATATTTTTGTATCTTGCTATATTTTGTTTTGTATTTATGGTTTAAGTGTTTGGATATGGTTTTATATTTTAGGTATCAAATGAGACAGAGAAGGTGGTAAACAAGCGGTACTATGTTCCTTCCAGACTGACGTCCCCTTGCCCCCCAGAAGAGATTACACAGATCAAATCTTCTACAAACTTTTATGTGGACTTCAGAGGCTTTTTACCAGGTGAGGATGAATTAATCATGATCTGTTTACAGCCAGGAGGGTGTTAACACGTGTAATGTATACATTCTTGCTCCAAAGAGACTATATTGCAATTAGATTTCAACAAGGTTTGTATAAAGTCAAACCTGTCTAAGTGGCCACCTTCCTATAAATGCCACCTGTCTAGGCAGGTCATACACTTTGTATCCCCTGAGAAAGAAATGTGTGTCCTGAAAGACCACCTGTCTACAGTGGCCACTTGCTCTATTTTTCTTGAGTTGCCTAAATAAAAAAAATTGACTGACCTTAATAAGTTCTTGCCAAGGATGACCCATGCATCCAAAGTAAACACGAAGTTCACCATGTCCAACTCACGGATAGATTTTAAAATTCTGGGATCGGCTTCACCCTTGAGTAGAAAAATGATAAGCTACATACTATTTATGATATTTTTTTGTATCAGATTAGTCTACACATATCCACCATGCAAGTTGCTTAGGGTGCTCCAATATTACCACAGCTCTTCTGGGTTACTTGTTGTAGGTTACCCCTAGCAAATCAAGGAATTCCTCCATGTCGGTACCCTTTTAACACCTTGGTGGACAATGGCAAATGTAGATTAATGTCCTGCCAGAGGATGTGTCAGGGCGGTCAGGTATATAAACCACTAGTTATGATTATGTGTATAGTCAGAGTTTCTAACAAGATGGACTTCTTAGAAATTTAAACTTGTCTTTAAGTATTATTGCAGCTAATATACCTTTTGGGGCTGGCTTTCAAAACGTCTCTTGCCATACTCTTTTGGTCATCTCTCTTGTTTGCCATTTCCACAGATGGGCTGTTTCATCGGTTGATGTCGAGAGCAGTCAGATGGATGGGTGAAAGAGATGGAGAACCAGTCAATCTTTTCCATCGTCACATCAGTCTAATGGTTGATGGAGTGCATCATGCCTTAATAGAGATGTTACCACCGTGTGAAGCAACTATCAAGGTCTGAGTCAAGTGTCAGCTATATTTTTTTCATGGTGGAGATACTGAATTGTAGGTAAAGTTGTTGAGGCCGAGCACCGGATCTCTTCATAGGAAATGAATAAACTCCACCAGGCAATGATATAGTCAATCTCCTACATTCGATTATACTGTCGATACCTAGAGAATCAGGAGCTCTTCAGGGCTCTTATTTCTTTGAAAGAATTGCATTGTGTAATCCTGAAAACTTTACCCATGAATCAGTATCAAGGTCTGGTTCCTAGTGCTATAATCTGAAAAGCAGAACCTCATAATATATATCCTTTGGTGTTTTTTTATTGGTTTTAAATGCACATACATTCTCAGCTGATAAGTGTATTTAAGATTTGATCACAAGCCCTATCATTTTTGTTTTCATTCTATTGTTTTGTTCTTGTTTTTTGATGTAATGTATTGTAATATTCAGTCATTCTTTAATTGTTTTGTTTGTTTTAAATTGTATTTTAATTGTATAATTTTATAAAAAATCTCTTTCAAATAAGGTTATGTGCGCTGAGGAACATACTCTGTCAAACGAACACAGACTAAATAAATGTATAAATAAATTAATAATTAACTATCACAAAACTGAGGGAAACTGAACACAATAACACACCACCATAATATTAATTTCTTAAATATATGTCCCTTTACCTTTGATGGTGAACATGTCAGGTCATTGTATATCAGGGAGCGGTTGATGATGATGGGGAAAGTAATACATCTCCAGCCCCAAGTGCTGTCAAAGAGGTAGGTAGCTCAACAGGATTATTTCAATATCTACACAATAGAAATGAAGAGAGAAGGATGGCGCAAACCAGTTCTTCGGCATTTACTATGCACGTTCACACAGTCATTTTTGTTTGATTGGAAAACTGGTAGCTTGCTTGAGTCTACCAGTACACATCTGAGAAAGGTCTCTGAACCATATAATTGAAGTTGTCACCGGTAAAATAGTCTCGGATATGTCATATAACAAAAATCGTTTGACTCAATAGGTTTCTCAAGAAAATGGATTTAACTATCAAACATACGACGTGTAATATGCAAAGTTAACTGTAATTGCTTGCACACTAACAATCCTATGTACTAAAGTGTAGTGAAACTTTGAGTCCTGTTAGATTGGAGGACAGTAAAATTAGACCAAAGGGCACTTAAACTTGACTTAGAAATCATCTACAGTTGGAGGCCGAATTAACTCAAATTCAATTTCTTAAAGTCTGGTTAATTTAATCCATATTATACATCTAGTTGATGTGGTAACTCGGTTCAGTTATCAAACTATCAAACTTGGTGCTTCGTCAAAATAGTAGACCTTTCTGAAACCTTTCTGTGTCAGTAGGTTTATGGACAATTGTAAATGAACTTCCAAGAGAATATCAATAGTTCGACTAATTTGGGTAGAGATTTATTGGAAACAAACCTCAACATATATGTACTGTTTGTGGATAAGGAAGATAAGAGGAACATTTTTTCCCTCCACCCAAACCGGCAATACTTGTTCAAGTGTCTCTGCAGACTCTGTTAGGTTAAGAGAGAAAATAAGCCAATGTGACGTGCGATTCATGCACTATCCGAATGACAGTTTCATTGCAGATCCGTCTACTGTGAATTTAAATCAAAATTAAGTAAGCTTGAAGTAGCCAAAAAGAAAAACTATAATATAATATATGTCTTGGGGCTGTTTGTGTATTCATGGCAGGTGATGGACTTTGTAACGGAAACCCTTGATAGCCTTATTCAGCACTGGGCTAGGAGGATCAAGTATGATGTCTGCTTTCTGTGCCCGAGGTGCAGTAGGAAGAAACGGCTTAAAGACTGCTTCAAGAGAATGTCACTCCAGTGTGGACTACATAGCATCCCTACAGCTGCAATCAAGTTCAAGTTTGGTAGGTCTATAAGACTTGGTACTCCACAAAAGACTATTTTACCCTCTATTGAAACAAATCTCCCACACAGCAAACTGATGGTGCCATTATTAAATACCTCCTAGTCTCTTGGAGAGTCGTTGAGTGAGGGAAATGAAAGATAATAACTTTTCCATTTGGAGTGATTGGTGGAAAATTCAAAGTATTACATAAGGCTTGTTGGTAATAACACTTAAGGCTGACCCTGGTAATTGATAACACCTGTTATTGGGAAACACACGAATGGTGTCAAATTTTCCATTAAAGAGCCCAATTTACTATGCGTCTTTAATATAGATAAACATTATTCATGTTTAGACTCGTTGACACACCTGAACACACTGACATAGAATAAGACCTGCCCAAGTCCAACTTTAGTTTCGTGAGTGGGGGATTATGTTATACTTAATTTTCTTCATACTCTTTAACTATTAATGCATATAATGCCAGGTAAAATTTTGTTAAGTTCATCGTGTACCTTCAAGCTGTACACTAATGATATGTTAGCTGATTGGCGCACTTTGGGATTATTGGTGCAATAATTGTACTTCTGTGTATAAAGGAATTCTTGGTACTCCCGGAGTTGTCAAGAATCCCTGATTCTGTTCTAAATTGTTTTAAGCTCACAAATATATTTCCAACCCAATACCTTGTGATCCATATAACTCCGGTTTATCCACTAGACCTTAACTCTTTTTAATTTTAATTGATTTATTCATGTAATTTGATGCAGGTATGAGTGAGGAAGGAGTGGAGTCAGGGAACGAAAGTCCAATAAGTAAGTATACAATCACCTCATCCTCGTTATTTTGTTCGTATTATCCTCTGCAGACAGAATGGTGTTTTCTCGTTATTTCAGAGACTCCATACTTTTGTTCAGTTGCTCCGAGTGTTGAGCAGTGTGTAGAGTTACGGATTATCAGTTAGAGACAAGAAATGAATCATGTCGGCTGTCACTCGTTAACTAGTTAACAGTAACAAATGCAAGACAATTATTACAAATTATCTCCCAGCCAATCAAATGCCATAATTCCAGTAGCTCATAACAGTGAATGTTACTTGACAATGATGACAGTTTTTATGAAACATGAACCAGATTCTAAAAAATGGTATCCTCCAGGGGTGGATCCAGTATATTTGTTTAAAGATGAGCACTCCGAAAAGCCAATAAAAGGGTCATCAGATTGTGTAAGGTGTGGTTGTTATTGATGCTGTTTTCAGTTTTCATGGCAAATGTTTTTAATATATGAATACTGCCGCCTTTCTATTGAAAACATATCTGATAAAGAAAAGCAAAAAAGGGTACTATAGCACAAAACAAGATGGAGGACTGACCAGATGCATCCTCGCCCCCCCCCCCCCCCCAGTCAATCTGTTGGCGGTAGTACATGTATCTCACTGTGTAAATCTTGATTGTAACCTGGAACTATTTAATCCTGTAAAAACATAACATTTTAGTTGCAGTTATTTATCATTAATAATATCAGGCTTATATAGCACATAATATGTTGCCATCTCCATGCACTTTAAAAGCATTAGGAAGAATGCAGAAGGATCATCAGTGGGTTAGTTTCATATGATTTAAAGATTACAAATTAGTTTTTGGTAATTCTATTGCACTGTGAAAGAAACTGTTTGTGTAGCAAGTAGCTATTGGTATATACCTTTCCAGGCGCAGCTCTTATTAAAATTGACAAATGGTTACCATGGTTCTCATGGTTCTCGGGTACCATGGCTCTCCTGACCTTTCGTCATCATGGTTCTCCCGTACCTAGGTTACCATGGTACTTGTATTACAATGTACTGCACGTACACAGTCGCCTTTCCATTCTGCCTGTAGCTAAATAAAAAGAAAGCCTTTACTATTATATTGCGTGGTCGATTCCTTGTTATCATTCGGGGTACAATGCAAATGAATTATTGATTATTTATTGCATTTTTTATTTATGTTTTAATTTGTGGGAACTGCCCCCTACCCTAGCCCCCGGTGCGTACAGTTATGGTTCAGTGGCAAAACAATGGCCTCGTAACTGTGAGGCTCCAGGATCAAAACCGTTTCGTTGTGCTAAATTAGTGCCCTTTTGTGGGGCATTTAGCATTCATCCTCATTACTGTCATTTATAACTTAAGGATGTAGGTTCCCTAGTTGATTAGCACGGTAGCATACACATGATTTAGCTGTCACGCAAAACAGACACTCACACATTATTATTCAATAAAATCTGAGAAGGTATACTATTATCTAAAGGTATAAGGAATAAATCATTGTCAAAATCATTCCATAAATTGGGTAAAAATAGGTATTCCACCATTATAACCTACAGTGTATGTTCTGGTACAATGTTTGTTAATGTATTACTTTTTTGTTTTGATAGTAAAGCGCATAGAGAATTCTACACATTATTATGAGCTATATAAAACTTTTCGTTATTATTATTATTATTAGTGGGGTTTTGGAATTGTGGAAATGATAAAGAAATTGACTGGGTATTGCTGAAGGCAACACCACTGTACAGAAAAAACGTTTATGCAGGACTAGAAATTAATTTTGCGAATGAATTATAATTATGAGTTGTTTTTCATGTTGTCAATAATTTAATTAAATGTTATTTCCACATTTCCAGGTTGAAAAATAAAAGGGGAAGAAAAAAAGAAGCACTACAAGTAGTGTCAGCTATGCATTTCCACAACAAAAAGTATAAATTGCAACTGTTCTTCATTAAATCTTTTTATGCAAGAGGGCTGTCATCGTCATCACCATCATTATTCAAATCAGAAATGTTTTTTCATAAAAGGGGTTACTGACGCTCCCAGTGCCATTTCCTCTTGTCTCGAGCATCCTCCTCATATTTACCTAGCTACCTTACCGCTTTCTTTCTACACTATTTCTTTTCACGAAACCTTCAGCCTTCCTTTCCCTCTTAGGCCATTAAATAGTTCTATTTTGTTATGATGTGCTTTGCAAATCATCTTCAATGTTATCATATTTTTCTTCAAGGTACTAGCTCCACGTTGCCCACAGAAGGATCGATTGCACACCTAGTGACCTCTGACATCGGCATACAGCCTCTAACAGGGGCTCAGGTTGCTTCAGAGGTTGAGCGGATCCTCCCGCGAATCAACGATCTGCCAGCTGTTCCAAGCTCCTCGGTGAGCATACATGGGAATGTTTTTAACATGTATGTTACAGGTAGACATGATCTTGTGCCGCCTCACCCAATGATCATCCCCCTTGCGATACGACAAGAGCTGAGTAAACTGTTAAACGGTCCCCGTGTTACTCATGACGACTGGACGGGACTTGCTAGTGCCCTGCGATTGGATGACTACATCGCTAGTCTGACTAACAAGCCAGACCCAACAGCAGATCTGATTGACCTGGCGGAGAGACAGAATAAGATTTGCAGCCTGGAGGATCTGAGGCAGATTCTGAAGCAGATGAAGCGCGATGATTGTGTGGATGTTTTTGATGCCGGAGCATCGGTAGAGTCAAACAACCGTCTGATGATTAAAGATCGAGACAGGAGTAGCAGTTCTAGTGATGACAGTTACTGAACCACGGGGTATGGAGTTTTAATCCCTGCCACAGTACTAACGTCCTTTGCTAAGACGCTAATCTACATTTGCCACACTCAACCCAGGATAGTTAATTAGGTTTCTAGTAGGTTTATTCCTTGAAACGCACTGTCCACTGATAACAGCTGCTGGAGCTTAACCGATGATATCAATCCCAAAGCTGTCTGAAAGCACACAGGACGTTATTATGTAGTGTGCGCTTTACGATAATGAAATATGAATATTATCATTATTTTGTTCAGGTACCGGAAATTAAGTACATTAAATGGTTATTAAGGGAGCTTCGTGAAATGTATTGGAAAGATGCACCTGGAACGCAAAAGGCTTTATTTATATTATAGTTTGTCATGTCTGTTAATGTCTAGGTAGATTTATATGAAGATAGTGCATTTGTTTAAAGGCTTCATATCATAAAGATGTGGTCCTACATCTGAGTAATACATTATAATGTGTAACAACTAGACATTTAGTGTTCCCCGTGCGGACTCGTCTTTCCTACCCACTACATTAATCTAATGTAAATTATTGTGCACATTCTCTTAATTCATTTTTCACAGATATCATTTATAGAAAATTGTATTTACAAATAACCAGAAGTAGCTGTCTATCTTTGATACTTGGGAAGAGTGATTCCTTTTTTCGAACCTTCAAACTTTGTTTTGCACATGTCATTTCCCTCTTTTTGTCTGAAACTTGTGTGTACAAAGTGTACAAATTACATTCAATTCTTAACTGTCCAGTGTTTAGCTGTTAAACATAAGTAAGTGAGACATGAAATGATAGTAAATGGTTAATGTTTATTCTTGTGGATCTTATCAACGTAGAGTGATCTAGGGTTAAATTATGCTTTTAACTCAGAGATTGATTGTTTTGTGTTGTCTTGTGCTCAATATAATCATGAAAATGTTATTGCATTGTAACACGCAGAAACACGCGGAAACTGGTAGAAATGACACATCATCATTATTTGTGCTGCGGTTCCTTTTATTTCATGTACTAGGCAATTTAAAGTTAAACCATAAAACCTTATGTAACCCAAAGGCTTGCAGAGTCGACCTCCCTGCCTGGCCCATGGATGGGGGTGCAGTGCAGGAGTGAATCTGACAAATAATTCTGCCCACTTTTATAACAGTTACACTCTCACGGTGATCTAGCTAACTGTTCTGAGAAAGGGTCCTATAATAGGGAGGGACCAAGTGACCGTAAATCATAAAATCCCTCTTTCATAGCTGTGGAATGTCATTTTTTGGCCAAATTAATAGCTTCTTCTCAGAATATGAGTGAGTCATATATCTTTGTTTCTTGTTGTTCACTTCCTGAGGAGATTTATTAGAAATAGATAGATATTGAATCGGTCTTTTCACCGTAAAACATTTCAATTTTGACCTGTTGCAGTATATATGTATGATATTTTGATGAGGGAAGCCTTGAATAACATGTTGCCAATGTTTTATTCAATTATATATGGAACTGCATCATCTTAGATGCTGCTTATAAGTATTGACTCGCACGGTGGTGTCGATAAGCAGTAAGCTTGCGGTTGCACCATGTGAGAGAAGGAGAGGATTGGAGCCACTCCTAGGGCCACTTCTACTACCCATCCTCTCTAACCGGTGCTATAATTCTCCTTAGAACTATAGCTAATAAAGATAACCAGCATTCCTTTTTCAAGACCATACCAACAGTCCTTTTCAAGACTCCCCAATCCTCCCCCTCCAAGTCCAAGTGAGCTTCTTTTTATAATGCCTCCCTCTACTGCTGGACTTTAGTCAATTTTTAGACCTTGATCAGGTGACCATAAATATGTTGAAGCTGTTACTCAGTTTGGGGGACTGGGCTTATTGTCTGAAAGGAGTGCTGTTATGAATAATAAAACGTGCTAATTGCGTAATAACCTTTACAGGGAAGTTTGATGAATTATATTTCTTAAGAATTGTAATTTTGTATGAGTAATATATTTCAACAATTGTAATGTTTGTAAATATATGAGCTTTCTGTTTACTCCATTTGGTAAATTTTGTGATCTATTAAGTCCATGAATATATATTTTGTCAACTTTTTGTAAGACAGGGCCCTGGTATGTAGAACTAATATAAAATATTATATTTACATGTTGAGAGTCAGTTTTGATGAATACATGTTGTATTTTGTGCTTGCACAAGTGATACAGAATTCATGTGTTAGAGAATCGTGCGATACATTTTCTTACGGGATTGAATTGATATTCAACGTATGATCTCAACAATGATATGTTATCTCACTTTTATACTGATTGTTGATATTTGTAGAGAATTCAGAAGTTTCAGCGTTCCACGGAGATATAAAAGAATTAATATGTTGTTATTGCAATGAAGTGGTTACTAGTTGTGCAGTTATAATTGTCGTAGAGGGCGGCCGAATGTAAACAAACCTTTAGAGATAGCTGCACCTATGTGCATCGATTATCGATAAAATGTGCTGTTGGTAGGGATTCGTTTTGATTGTCCTAGATGTTATAATAAGATACAAATTAGTTGATTTAAAGATTGAAGAAATGATGTGTTTTTACATTTGTATTATTAATGTATTAAAGAAGTACTTCAGCAGTGCTGAATATTTCATTGAGTTTGAACTTAATTATATTGATATGCCAAATTAAATGCATATTATGCTGTCAGAATAGCCAGTAAAGAAATGCTTGTTTTTTTTTTAATATTTTTATATTGATTATAGCTGGTATATGTTGGCTGTTGAGGCATCTTATCCAATGGCTACGTTTGGTGACTTGGCTGCTACATGGTTCGCTAGTCTTCCTGCAAATTTATATTATGACGTGGTTTAATACAGTAGTGCAAATGTATACCATATTTGAAAATTATTTCAGTACAAGAATTTACTTGGTCTTTTAGATGTGCACCTTGCTTGTGAAATTGCTGTTTTTTGTATAATATTGAGGTAATAAGAAATACTTCAGCATTTCAAAGTGCACTTATGAAATTAGTTCAGCTCATAGCCAGGATTTTAGTATGACAAATTGTGTTTGATTGTGATCAAATGCTATTTTAATAGATAATTGATTCTTGTTAGGATTTCTATTCAGATTTATTTCCATTCGGATCTTAAAGCAGAGTTTATATTATCAAAGGGTAATGAGTGAAGTTTCGTTAGAATAGGGATACAAATATGGAGTGCCTGTAGGTCATGTAGAGATTGAAATTATTCCTATGACGCCTGACATTTGGAGGTATTTTACGGAATATGCAATGATGTATGCATATTAAGTATTGTAAACTTGTCGTCAATTCCAGCAGATGTGTGGAAATTATACTGAATCTATTTACCTTTATTAATCATTGTCCTAAAGTAATAGTGTTATATATCTTGTTATTCTGATATGACATATGTTTACATTGTATTATGACATACAACTGTCTTTTGCAGATATTTTGTATGTGATGTTTAATTTTGAACATGTTCTTATTGTTTTTGATATTCTTCTGCCTCTGCAAAATTTCGTTTTTGGATTTTGTTTACGAATGGTGAATAAACGGGATAAACTAAATTACAACTTGTACGATTTCGTATCGGGTCACGGCAATCCAACTGCGACTTAACTCTTAAGCTGCCACCCATACAATGCACCCAGTGCCACAGTGCTTATCCCTATTGTGCCAGTCACAAATCTCCTGTGTGCCAAGTTAATTTTAAGGTTGGTTCAAGTGCGTGTTATTTAAATCTTTACAAAAAACAAATCGCTGAATTACTCGAGAAAATCCGATCTGACTGTTGTATACAAAGACGCGTAATCCAAAGCCGATAATCTGATGCACGCGATGGTACTTTCAATAGCGCTGCAAAAGCACTCAGCACGGTGCAATGGGCATGAACAATAACTGTAATTACATATGCTTGCTAGCGTGCACAAAGCAGAGTAGCGGTGGCTCGCTAGCATGAACGTGGCATTCAGTCGATAGCGCGCTCGCGTGCACAGAGCACTATAACAATAGCGCGCTAGCAGTCTCATGGCAGGATATGAGTTAATCAATTATTCCTGACTTATTTAGACCAACATATTTAAATAGACGAGATCAGATATTTAGTCACTCTGTGTGTTAAACTAAGTGGGCAAGTTGTACGGCACTATCATGTCACAGTGTCATGATAGATGGAGCCATTTTGAAGTGCCCATACATATTTAGGCCTAGAGGAATTGCAATTAACTTTCATGAATTCATTACCTTTTTATTGTTGTCCAGTTCATTCAAACTATTAGTTACAAGTCTATCTCTCGCACGCTTCCACTCAGGCAGAGTTAATTGTATAACAGTTGCACACATTTCCTGAAAGCATTGTACGTATCGTAATGTATCATCTCTTTATGTTCATCATATCAAATCTTACCTTACTGTTTATCCTCTTATCGTCTTGTTCTATATAGCTTCATTTGCCTATCCTTGCCTCCGACCATGTCTTCTTTTTTCTTTTCAATCATGTTTATTATAATTTTCTTTGTTTATATAATATAATTCCCAAACCATCACTAAACGTACAGGAACATCTAACCATAACAGACAACTGACTTCAAAGAAAGCCGAAAAACAAGATAAGTTGACTAATAGACTAAGCACATGAAGGGAAAGATATAACACTTTTCTTGTTCTCAAAAGTTAACATATTTATAATTTGCTATGCATACAAGGCCAATCGAAGTCGAATTTCCTCATCAGAAATGTGATTCATATTCTCTTCAAGTTGAGCGTGTGCATGTGTGTGCGGGGGAGAGAGAGTGTGTGGACATGGACAAAGTACGTGTGTGTGGATGTACGGGAGAGAGAAAAGTTGTGTGTGGGCGAGTTTGCGTGTTTGTGGGTGTGTGTGTTTGTGTGTGTTTGATAGAGAGAGAGAGAGAGAGAACTTCCAATAGCAAAGGGCATACAAGATCTGCTTTATGTTTTGTCCCCACTAATCGTTATTCATAACTATCGGTATGGCGCTCCTAG